TTTACAGCTTGCCATTTTCGCGTCACTCAATAGGAAAGGTACGCTTGGCAGCAGCTCCAGAAATATAGGGATTAGGGCAACATGACCCAAAAGAGGCATGACCCTGATTCGTTTTCAAGCTGGAGGCCCAATAATATATCACCTGAGTGACCTAAGACTATAAAAGGAAGCAGTGACAAAAGGCAAAAGGCCAAGTTCTCTCGACAGCTTTTTCCTTACCATTGCTTCAATCCTCTCACTGGACTGGTTTTCTCTTCCTTCTTCCACCTTTCTGCATTCATCATATTGTTTAGTGATATATTCCCAGACCCTTTGATTATTCCACGACCGACGAAAAACAGGTATCTACAGGTAGTTAGTAAATAACAATATTTATCAGAGTAAACTATACAAGTTAGAAAGGGAACTGTAAAAAAAAACCTGAACTTCACCAGCCTGAGTTGTGAAATTATTTATTTTCATGTCTAATGGTGAAATTTTAGGGAATATTTTAATAAAAATATAACCAAATTACATTAATAATGAATATTATATTTTTATTTAAATTATATTTAATCGTAATATTCATAATTATTATATCTTAACCCAGTTATTTATCTTATATATACACATATAAAGCATCCATTATCTCTTCATCTTGGACTAATGTGATTTTATATGATCTATACTCTCCACAGTCTTGCTCTACATATTATTTGTATACTTGTGTTTGAGTTTATCTACATTACAAATTACGAATATATAGGCAACGAAACACATATCAACTTGAAATTAGAGCAATGAAACACATACAGACTTGAAACTAATATTTTGAACTAACTAGTACCACTAGTAACTGCATATAGAGGAGGACTATCAGCTTTACGATAATGTGTTCACAAATACTTCTCTATCATTTATCTTTATATATATATATATATACATAGATATATATACATATTTTGCATCTCTTAGAGCATCTCTAATGGTTGTCTATATATATATATATATTTGTATATCTTATGTGTCAAAGTAGATTTCTACAAAATTTTGAACTAATTATTTTTTAGCTATGCCATTATTTTATACCTTTTGTGTAAAAATATATTTGCTAATAACAACATGTGTAATGTACAAAAGAGAGAAAATATGTTGATATGACTCTGTAAAAGAGTTGCGCAAAATACATAACAATTTTACACAAATTTTACACATTGATGAATTTACCATGTATTTTAACATACACTTAGAGATAAAAATAATAATAATAATAATAATAATTATTATTATTATTATTATTAGTAGTAGTAGTAGTAGTAGTATTATTATTATTATTATACGTTGTATATATTTTACACAAAAAAAGTTCTTTTAACATTGCTCGAGATGCTCTTATGTTTGAATTATTAGTATTATTAATGTAGTAAAAATTGTCTTAAAGTCGTGTTTTCTCAACTATAGATTTTGTATCTCTTATTTTGTGTAAATTTTGTATATGAATATTGTGTAAGTCATGTTTAAATTATGAAGTGTACTAAATAAATAAATAACAAAAAATCCTAATAGAAATTACATGGCATAATGTTTAAGATGCAACAATTGAAATGAATTTGAAACTAAGTAGTTTAAAGGAGCAAATAAGGCAAAAGAGGAGAATTCTTATGAACCAGTCAACAACATTTCAAAGCTGAAGTAGTTGTCAGCACCAGCTTTGAATTCAACACTTGCTTTAGTCTCTATTTGTAGTAACATAAATCCCTCCCTATAACTTATGAATTAAGTATTCTCACAACAACAGGATCTACTCTAACATGAATTAGGCTTTAATGAAACCCTTCACAAAATTATCAACAAATACTAATATTATCAACTAATTAGAATGCTTCATTATTCAATCTATATATATTGGATCTAAGAGTAATCAATTTGATTTAACAAAATCTTGTCAATTTTAGCCTCTTGGTACTAATGTACATTAGAATTAGATTTATTTTGTTTGAATAATTTGGTTAAAACTTAAAAATGAAGCTTCTCCATTAATGGAGTTGAGAAATTGTGGATTCTATGATCGTGAAATTAATGGAGTTGAATGTTCCACACAAAACATTCGGTGTGATGTTCTGTTAAAGTATCAAAAATAAATAAATAATAAATAATGATGGAAGGCCATTGTGGTAAACTTATTCAAAACTCGGGAGTTTCTTCAAGAATGAGGGATTGATGCAAATAATTATAATTAGCTTTGGAAAGTGTCCTGAAGAAGTCAAAGTTTCTTATTTTTGGTATCACACAGTAATTAAGATTGGCTATTACTAACCAAACAGGCCATTAGGCGAAACAAGGACAAAGAGTAAAGGGCCGGCCCAAAACTCCTCTTTCCCTATAGCTGCTACCCAAACCCAAAACAACATAGAAACAGATATCCAGAAACAGAGACATCATCGGTGTTTGTAAAATATGTCGGTCAAATCATGACTCATTGAGTAATAAGAAGTCAAATTTCACACTTATATAATATCATGGTTAGTTTCCAATTTGTGAAATTTGACATTTGATTACATGCGTTAATCAATATTCATTCCAAGATCTTTGGACGATTGTTTGAGGTCATATCATTTAAATTTTCATCCTTAAAAACGGCCGGTTTGATCGAGAAGGGGTCAGTTTCTAAATACGTGTGGTTTGACCGAGAGGTGACCTGTTTGTATACAATTGGCCAGTTCTCTTGTGAATCCGTGCACACCGGTTTACTTACCAAAACCATTTTGAACTGACCGGTTCAACAAACAATGACTACCTATGTTTAATCTGTTTAAACCTCATATGAGGGTGTACAAAATTCTCATGTTGGATATTTGCTAGTCCCTTCCCTAAAGTCCTAACCAACGGACATAAATTAGAAAACTTATTTAGGGCCTGTTTGGATTGGCTTTTTAGAAGTTGTTTTGGGTAGAGTTTGGCTAATTGTTAAACGCTCTTCTAAAATACACGAGAAGAGTTTTGAGGACATTAATGAAACTTTTTAAATGACAAGCGTACCTTTTATATTTTCTCATAAAAAATTATAATTCCAACTGTATTCCTACAAAAAAAAACCCCTTAATTCTATTTCCAAACCCTACTGTCAAAAAAACTCACATCCGTGTTCTTTGCAACGTATCCCTCCATACTCACAAGAACTATCCATCAAGCATTCAACCAGAGAAAAAAATTTAAGAAGATTATTATTGGGGGTAATTCTTTCTTTATTGTTCAAGTTCGAATAACTTATTAAATTGCATAATTCTAACCTAGAGAGAACCGGTGGCTATACTCCTTCAATCTTCCAATCTATAATTTGGTATTTCTTCTCTGCCTATTTCTTCATGCTCCTTTTTTTTTTTTTTCAATTTTCTCTAAATATTTTCGAAACTCCTCGACAAACGATCACTAACTTCCATAAGAATAATCACACCATATTTCAATGCTCCATCCAACCATCACAAATCTTTAATTTTTTTTTTTTTCACCCTAAAATTGATTTCCCTTTTGTTGCGGCAATAGATTCTAGTTATTTACCCAAAAATAAAGTTTTTTTTTTTTTTATCAGATTAATTCACCGGCATAGATCTTCCCTATATTGCAATCAATCCCATTGGAACATTAAACGTTGACCGTAGCAATATTTTTCTTTTTTTTTTCAGTAATTTCCTTATAATATAATTAAGTTTCCTTATAATATAATCAAGCTTGTTATTATAAGGAAACAACAATATTATTATAGGAAAGTCAAAAAGTATGAGATTAATTATTTTCTTTTTAGAAGAAAAAAATAGAAACCTTCAATATTTTATTTTTATTTTATTTTTCTTATTATATATTTTGGTGGAATCAAAATGTTCAATTACAAAATTTTCTAAATCATCTCTTAATTGTTATTATTAGTATTATTAATTATATGGCATGTTGTGGATAAATTTGATTATATTGAGTAGTTTATTTGTATGTCTTTAGAGAAAGAGTTACGAAAAAGTTAAACGATAATTTTAAAAAATACTCTAAGGGCAAAATAATTATTTAGCTTCCGTAAATGTTTAACCAAACAGATTGAAAAACTCTTTTACCATTAAAAACTATTCTAAAATACAGTTTCCAAACACTAACAAATAAGCTAAATAGAAGTGATAACTTCTACTTCTATTTTTCTTCTCCGTAAAAACGGAAGTAAAAACTATACCAAACGAGCCCTTAATCTAATGGCTTAACTTGCAATCAGTTAATATTTCTATTATCAATTATAAGAAATTTAATTTTATAGGTGTAGTTTAGTTGATAAAGTTTTGTTTCCGTGATCAAATTATGTCTTCAATTAGGTCCAACAATATGTGTTTAGAGAAGAATATTTTAGTTATAAAAGAGAAAGGATTTTAACAACAATTTGAAATTTAGTTTGATACATACTCCAAACAGTAAAGCTTTCATGTTTTCACTAAAATTCATGTTACTCCATATAAATAAACCATGTGGATAGAAAAGACAAAATATCAAGTTAAGGACCCATTAACTTTTATCTCCTCTAAATAGGGTAAATTACGAAAACTTTTTCTGTAATAAGTTTTGAAAAACCTCGTAATCCCTTCTATTTCACACATTTGTAATAAATGCAATCTTGCCCTCAGTCTTCTTGTAGTCAAAGACGATGATGTCATCAAAATTCAAGTTTAAAATGTGATTTTGCCCTTAAAATAGGTTTATTCAATTCTATGGGCTATTCACAATTTCTTGATAAAAGTCTGTAGCCTGTAGGTGATGGATGTATGTTACCCCCACATGGGCTTGCCACATTATAAACGAAGGCCCAGTTGGCAAAAGTCAAGTGGTCAATGTATAGGGATTCATCACGCCAGAATAAAAAATTAAATATTTGAAGACCTGAAACAGAAATTAAAATTTTTTGAAATTCAGTGAAATACTTGATTTGGTGAGTGAAGTTCCGTCAAATAGGCCGATTTACCCAAACTCCACCTTAACCAATCATATTAATATTATTTATCTCATTAAATATTTAATCCAATTACACTGTATTATTTATATTTCATTAGTACATTACAATTATCTTTATTATTATAATAATAATACTCATGAATATATTATTCATCCTCACTCCCTTCAACGATAAAAGGACGCGCTTTAAGGCCAAGGAAAGGGAAAGAAAAAAAAAATAACAACAACAAACAACCACTACACTCTTAAGTCCTCTCTCACCCCTTCCCCTGAGTCAACGGTGTAAGCCCTCTCTCACCTCTTCCCCTGAATCAACGATTCACACCCCTTCCCTTGTTGAGTCAACCACTGGAGAGGTATTCTCATGGCAGGGTAGACGATCGAAAGGACTCTCGGTGTGGACTCATTGCTTCATGCTGGTGATATAACCTAAACCTTTTTTTTTATATATATATATTTTATTACTTGCTTTATTTCCGAACTGTCCAACTGTTTCTCCTTGTTATGCTATCATTTTTACATTCACTCTGCTTCTTATAAACCAAATATTGTTTTGCATGATATATATGTATATACAAGTTGATCCATATATATATAGATGTAGAACTCTATAAAAGGGGATAAAAATGCAGTGGGCGTCTCTCCCTCTCTAAGCCGTTGACGTCCTGATATTTGTGTTTGATTAGTTTGATTGTGGATATATTGGTTATTTTAAAGAATATTAGGGTGGTCTTAGTTTGTAAATTTAGAAAATAGGAATAGAATTCTGTACAAAAAATTTACTCAAGTTCAGTTTGAAAATTATTTCTCAAGAACTCACTTACAAAAAAACATGTTTTCATAAGATGGTTATGCCAAAAAAAAAAAAAAAAATTATTTTTTAAGAACTCTTTTCAAAATTATAAACTAAACAGACCTTAGAGACTCACCCTCACACAATAGAGATGAAGTGTAGTTAAGTTTCTTACCAATTTGTTAGGAAGATAAACCGGTAAATAATAGATGGTCGATTATCATCAACATATTTTCAAATCGGATGATGTCCATAAACTAGCCGAAATGTTGCCAAGTCGGATTACCATGAACCCAGACATAAGATAGATAGCTACAATTCCCATGGTCTTGGCAATTCACCGGTCGGATTGTTGTACAATGCTACGACGCCTACCAAAATAAATTAGTATTAATTTTGCTTTTGAATTTGCCGTGTTTGAAATTCAGTCCTAGACCAATTCGGTAAACGCTCCGGCTCCGCTGGAAATTCTACACCCACCACTCCAAATACACAATTATGTTAGAATTTAGGCAAAATTGTAAAAAAAAAATAATAATAATAAAATAAATAAATAAAATAAAATCATGTACTATTACAAAAGTGAAAAATAACACTTAATTATTTTGGATTGTAAATTAATCCTGCCTTGTAAAAAGACCCTCCCCATGACCTGATCACATTTTTCACCGTTCAGGTCAAAATTACTAAAAATACCCACACTTATTAATTTATATAAAAATTATAAAATATTATAAATATATAATGCCCATAATACCCTTCAGGAACCCTTTTGCAACTAATCAATAGTTCAGCATTTATTTTTACAATTTTGCCTAATAAATAATAAACAATATCAACAATAATAATAACTAATAATATTATTAGTAGTAGTAATAAGAATAATAAAATAATAAAAATAAAGTAGTTAGTTACAAGATATGTGAATTACTTTTAGAACCCCTGCAAATTAACAATAATAAAAAAATAACAATAAGAATAATATTAATAGTATTAGTAGTGGTGGTAGTAGTAATAATAATAAATTTTTTAAATAATAACAAAATTAAATTGCTTGATTAGTTGTTTGATGAATCTATACACCTGTAAACAATTTTTGCAAGCCATTAAATTATCAAAACAAAAATAATACTCCATCTGTCCCAAAATAGTTATCCACATTGGTATTTATGACTCACAAAGATAACAATGTGGACATGTATTTTGGGACGGAGGGAGTAATAATAATAATAATAATAGTAATAGTAGTAGTAATAATAATAATAATAATAATTTTTATTATTATTATTTAAAATAATAACAAAATTAAATTATTTAATGGATCTATATACCTACAAAGAGTATATGGAAGCTCATAAATGATCAAAAAAATAGTTCAAATAATAATAATAATAACTTAAAATAATAACAAAAATAAATTGTATAATTAAGGGTTTTGATTAGGGATGTCAATTTTTATCGCCCCGCCGGAGCTCCGTCCCGTCCCACCCCGTTAATAAAGGATATGAAAACACTTTTTATACCGTTGGGGCGGGCATGGATACAAATTTTGTACCCGTCGCGGTTCACGGGGCGGGTAAGGGTTCAGTATACATATCCTAGGAGCCACGCCCCGCCCCATTAAGCATATAACTATATTTTATATATAAATATATATATATATATATATATAAACTTGGTATTAAATTTGTTTTTGTTTTGGTTATGGTGGAAGTTGGAGTTTAGAACTTCTTGTGATTTGGTTGTATTAAACTTTTATTTTTGTTTATTATATTCTCTGAATTATGTTATATGCATGTTATTTTTTTTATTTTTGTTGGGATACATAATTTCATTTATGTTGTGTCATTCCCAGGCTTTCCACATTCAAATAGCATGAGCTTAAGTTTCAAAAAGTGGGAGAAAAAAATTTGTTAGCGGGGCGGGCACGGGGGCACAGTATTTCCCAACCGGGCGAGGCTAAACAGGAAAATTCAACCCGTCGAGAGTCTCAGGACGGGCATGGACTTGACAAAAAATAAAAGGGGTGGGGCGGGATTTAGGGAAACCCGCTCCAAACCCGCCCCGTTGCCATCCCTAGTTTTGATTTGTAACCCGATATAGTTCATAAGGTTATTTTTTATTTTTTTAATAGTTCAAGGGTTTTTTGCACTTTTGTCGGGTGTAATAGTCATTCAAAATGGTAATTCAGGCATTACTTAAAATGCACAGGCGCGTGAATCGACATACACCAAAAAATGTGGTTCAATGATCAGAAAGTTCCATTTTGCAATGTTTTGTTGAGATTGAAGTTGATTTACAACTCGAGATAGTACATATTATTTTTCAACTTTTGCCCAGAATTTAAATACATTATCAAGTTTCCAGTCAACGGCCAATGATTCTTGGCGGCTAGGGTTCACAATGGTAAAGGAAGACTATGTGAAAGAAGATGCAGATGGGCTTGAATATAATTGGGAGGTGTAATGGGCTTAGGCAATTAAATTGGATAATGGATTCGGCTTTTGCTTTCTAAAATGAACAAAATAATGTTATGAAGTGTGTTGGGCTGGATTAATGATAACTAAATAGTTAAGTGAGCATTTTTATGTGGGCTAATTTAGTATGTCATGGACTGAAAAGAAATGGTTATATGCATTTTTCACGAAATCAAATCAACCCATTAAGCAAGGTGGTTCACAAATATGCACACAAACAAACGAAATGTTTGAGTTTGGCTTATTTAATAAATGAGTCTTTAATTGTGTTTGGAAATAGTTTATTTATTTAATAAACAAATACAAAATGAACTATGTCAAGTCGAACCCGAATTGTTCATGAATAACTTGATTCGTTTGTAACCTAAATGTATGTAATCATACCTCTGCATGAATGTTTTCCACAACGATTAAATAAATTTTGCTAAAATGCACGCAATCCAATCAACGCTCTCCTCTACTAGATTCAAAAAACTTTATCATCATCATCTTTACTTTTATCTTATTATTTATGAAATCAGCCACATGATTTTTTTTTTTTTTTTTTTTTTTTTCTTATATTACACCATGTCTTCTCTTAGATTTAATTTTTTTAAATTATTTCAATTACTATATCTCATGTAAATTTTAATAGACCTTTTTATCGCTTCTAATTTTTCATTTATAGAGGTAAACTTCATTAATACTTTCCTCACAGACTCATTATTAATCTATTTCTTCTAATTACTCTTATCTTCCAATGTATCATCTTCATTTCACATGTTTGCGATTTTTCAACACCTGACACTTTGCTCCATACACTATAGTTAGCTTAATAACAATTCTATAGAATATTTCTTTACAACTAGTTTGCTTTTATTTTGTCCACCATACTTAATCCTGCTTTAAGTCATAACTAACATACGTACTAGTAATTGGTTCGAAACATATGATTAACCATGATGAATAATGATAGATAGACTGAAAGACGGATGTATCCAATTAATTTATATGAGTGGGCGATAACATCATTTTCTACTCACATAAATATAGTTGTGTGTGTCTAACTGTTAGACTTCTTATCATTATTCATTCATGATTCAAAAATCAATGTAAAATTCACATAAATATAATCGCGTGTGTCCAACTGTTAAACTCCTTATCATTACTCATTCATGAATCAAAAGTCGATGCAGAATTTGGTCCGTGTCATCTTGCTGAAATTTTATTACCATATAAATCTTTTCTTCTTCTATTTTTCTGACACCATAACATGTAATTCAGAGAATTAGTATCATGACTATATGTTAAGATTTAATTTGGTGATATAATGTTTAAATGACATATTATTATTGTTGTGTTGAAGAACAGAGGGTTTCTATTTGTATTAATTAGTATTTCCATTTAAAGGTAAAAGTAAAAGAGTTAAAAGAAGTTTCAAAGAGAAAAATGGAATGGAAGCATGAGTAAACAGAGGAGTTACAAAATTTTCGGACTGAGTTCAGATTGGACTAAGTTAGCCTGCCTAAGTTGCACTTCTAATAGAGAAAAAAGAAAACCTCTTCTTTTAAAGTTAGAAACTAATCAAATTAAACAAAATAAACAATGATAAAATCATATCATATAAAACATAGCATCAATGGACTACTTTCGTTTTTTATTGCAAAATCGGCCCACTCAGGTGATCCGACTTGCGTTGCTTAGAAATTTCAAATTAACTTCAATGCAACAGTTAATGTAGAAACGAAACCCTCATTTTTTACTTTAAAAATTCAAATTAATTAATTTGGTGCATGTCTAACTTTAATCCGCCCTCGACTAAGGTTGCTTAGATATTTCAAATTAATTTCAATGCAACAACTAATGTAGAAACGAAACCACTCTCTACTTTGAAAATTCAAAGGGTCTTATATTCTTATTAGTGATAGTCAAATGAGAACGCCAAAGCTTGAAAGAAGTTGTCTAAGCATTTCCAAGCAATTTTCTTCTACGTTGAGTCATTCGGATCAAACTGTCTTGTTTATGGTAGAGATTCAATATAAAAATATGAAATTGAAGGGATATATATTAGATGTAATTGTTGAGTAATTATTACTTTTTAGTTTTTATTTTTATCGTCAATGCTTTATAAATAATATATGTCAGGAAATTATCTTTCAGGTAAAGTTTCAAAAGAATCCGGACTCCCACATCTAATATGTAAGGTGAGATTTTTTGTTAATAAACAATGTGTAGTGTAGAAAACATCTTTAAAGTATGTTGACAGTGCAAATCACATCCCGCACGGGCAAAAAATATCCCTAAAATTTCAATTTGATGCAAATACGTTCCTCTGACAAATTTAAATCCTAAATTGACTAAATGGCCCTTATAAATCATTTTATAAAATATATAAAAATAAATAATTTTATAAAATGACCAAATGACACTATTGGAGGATGTCCCTTGCGTTAAAAATATCCCTAAACTTTCAATTTGGTGCAAATAGGTTCCTCCGACAAATATAAATCCTAAGTTGACTAAATTATCATTACTAAATCATTTTATAAAATATATAAAAATAAATAATTTTGTAAAATCACCGAAAATGACACTATTGGAGGATGCTGGCAATGGACAAGTAAAGATAAAAATAGAAAATAAAAAGCGAAAATAAAATGCAAACTAAAGAAAATAAATCTACTCCAAACTCTGAAAACCATTGCACACTGATATTGGGATTTTTTTTCCTTCTCCTTTTTTTTGTTTAATAGTGTTGGTATGAAAATAAAATAAAATAAAGAAAAAAAAATTAGTAGAAAACAAAAAATTGAAATCTCAAAAAATTCAATCATTGTTCAACAAATTCTCAAAGTTTCAAAAAACAAAGTTTGGAGGTATATATAGAGAAAAAGTTAAAAAAGGTAATGTGCACATAACACCTTTATATTATGAGATTAGTAGCATATATACCCTCTTGGATATTTTTGGAAGATTAAAAGGGTAAAACAAGTATTACAACACTAATTTATGTCATATTTTTGATTGAGTGGTATTTTTACATAATGTAAAAATATTAAGGATATTTTTTACACACTTTTTTAAATATGTGATTAAAGTGTTACACGGAATATACTTTAAAGGGTATTTTCTGCACTTGTCCTTAACCTATCCTATTGAATTTGTCTAATTATAATTAGAAAAATAAAGAAAGTAGAAAAGAAAAGTGCCCAATATAATACTAAATTGTTTTGTATTCAAATTAATGGTGAAAAATGTGCTTTGCTAGCTCTTATGTCCAGGACAAATAACTCAACGTTGATCAAAAGAATGCTAGGAGCACTTAAATTCAACACAAATAATATCATTTGTCGGGAATAATTAACTCCCGATAATTCACTCAATGATCGGTTATTGTTGAGATTTATTTATTTATTTATTTTTATCACACACAGTCAAAGTATTATCAGATCACATCAACATGAACATATATAGCAATAACAATCACACACATTCACGCATAACACAATATTTCATGAGCATATATGACCGAAAGAATGCTAGTAGCACTTATATTTAACACAAATACATTTGTTGGGAATAATTAACTCCCTAAAATTCAGTTAATAGTCTGTTATTATTGAGAGTTAAATTCCACTTTCATCGCGCACAGTAAAAATATTATCACATCACATCAACACGAGCGTATATAGAAATAACAATAATTTATATTCACGAATGTTTGATTGAGGGTGGATTGGACCAGTGTTGTTTCAGCTTCAGTAGGATTGCTTGCTCTGGATCAGTGGTGGTTTGTGTGTTCCATGGAAGGGTAGGGTGAAAATGAGGAGAGAGAGAGAGAGAGTGTGTGATTTGGAGAAATGTTGGGGATATTTTTGACATTTGGAGGGGTGGGTGTTGGGTTTAGAGATCTATGTTATGGGTTTTATTTATTGAATTAGTATGAGACGACTTGCAATATTTAAAGTCAACAGCAGAAATTCAAATATGGAAATTTCAAAAGCAAAATTATATTTCTTTTGTCCTAAAATAAGTGTCATGTTTTTCTTTTTTATTTGTTTCAAAATAAGTGTCCACATTTCTTTTTCAAACAATATATTTTATATCTTTTCATATATGTCTTTTAAATTAAAAATTTCAAACTTAAATATTCAAAACTTAAAAAGACAAGTTAATAATTTTCTAAAAAGACAATTCATGTTCCACATGTCCCTTTACAAATTACTTCTCCCCATAAAAAACACTTAAATTGAAATAGAGGGAGTACTTATTTGATAAGTACTTGATCACCAATAACATAGTAATACTTTTTTTTTTTTTTAATCAACCAAGTCTACAATGGAAAATGCTAAAAGTCTTTATAGAGAATTTTGATACAAATGAGGTGTTAAAAGTCTCACTATTTTTTTTCCTTTTTCATGACAAGGATGCTAGGGTCACTGGTGTAAAGGGAATGGGAGGATGTAAGGCTCGAGCACAAACTTTTGAATACGAAGAACATTTTAATTATTCGAACAACACGATAGTTGATGTGATTTACTTCTTATATTTTCTCCTTCATGAATTATACACGTCATTAATCAACGTTCAATTTAAATCAGGTTGAACAAGTGATAGAACTTAAATTAAATTAATCAATCTTCAATTAATAATTAATTGAAGATTGATTAATTTAATTTAAGTTCTATCACTTGATTTGACAAATATTTTATATTAAATTATTATTAAATTAGATAAAAGTATAAAAGACATTTCTTACTTTTTATTACAAAGTTATAAAGGCCAAACCTCAGGGGCAGGGGTGTTCAGTGTAGATTTTCTAACTTTTATTGCAGCTAAATTGCAATAATAATATTAAATAAATTTAATTAATGTCCAAAATTAAAATTTTCACTTTATAAAGTCAAATAAAACTTGACAAAAACTCCAACTATGAAATATTCTTTTAGTTCACTTAATTTATGTGCTTTGGCAATTTAAAATAAATCTATAGAATTTTTTGTAACGAGTTTCTCAAAATAAATATATAATAATAAAATAAATTTGATTACATCTAAATTTGTTCAAAAGACAAATAATCAATGTTTCACTCTGACAAAATTAACCGCGATGAAAATGTACTCATAATGCTTTGACTTCAGGTACACTTTCATGTTCCTTCGTGCCATCTCTTGTCGTGGTATTGGAAATATTGAGATTAAATCCATCTTCGTTTAGACTTCGGAGATCTATGGTGTGGGTACAAATTTGCCTCACAAAAAAATTAATATATATATATATATATATATATATATATATATATATATATTTGATTATTATTATTATTAGACGAATATACTAATAACGTAACTGATCTAGTACCCAGAAAGAGTTTGTTGAATTGAGTTGAGTTTCTTGAATAATAAAAATAGCTAGCTGGTCGTTAATAATAATTAATTATGCCGCAAGTGCTTAACACTAAAGAAATTGGATTTTACCAAGTGCCCATTTGAAATTATGTTAAAAATCATTTAAATGTATAAATGTGGAAGACGATATTATGAGTGTAAATTTCATCCACCTTCTCACTTTCAAAATTTGACAACAGTCAATAGAAATATGTGTTGGGTTTGTGGCTCAAAATTATTTATAGAAATTAATTTTCTTTTTCGTTTTGAAATGCTAAAATTTGTAAAAAAAAAAAAATTGTGTCTCATTAAGTTTGTATTTTAGAGTTAGGATTGATATGACAACTCTTGTAGGTAAGTTGGAGAATGCGTGTCCAACAAGAAATTGTGTTTTGAAGACTTTATAAATAGAAATGGGTGTGAGGGGTTTAGAGAGAAAGAGAAAAGATTTAAGGGTTTTAAGGGTGAGTGTTGTGAAGAAAGAGGAGAGCATATGTAATTACCGAATGTATACATATAGTCTCAAAAGAGATGATAATTGAGTAAGTGGGGTTTTAACATGTGGTTGTATATTCTCTTCCTTGATTCATAATAGTAAAATCTCCCTTATAGACGTAACACTAGAATTGGATGAATCATGTAAAATATTGTCTTGTGTGGATGTGTATGATTGTTATCTCTATATATATTTGTATTGATGTGATGTGATGATATTTTCACTATTTGTGATTAATGGAGAATTTAACTCTCAATAACAACCGAATAATAATGTTCATTTATACGGTGATAGAAGAAATTCAAGTGATGTATTCAAATTAAAACATACAACCATTTAAGTTCAATCGGGGGATTGTGAATTTGAAATTGAGGAAGCTAAAGGTGCTATGAGGCAAAAGAGGAGAATTTTTAGAAAATTTTCTAAAGTCGAAGCAATTGTCACAATCGGTATATAATGAATCTAATAAATTTGATTTAGCAAAATCTTTTCAATGTTAGCCTATTGGTACATGGAGGAGAAATTTGACCACCCAGTCGTGGAAACTTCTGAGCTTACGTTAGTCGTCAATCAAATTGGTAAAAATTTCAAAGATAAATCATTGAATTTCCAAGGCAAGTGGTGTATTTACATTAGATTTAATTTGTTTGAGTATTTCAATCAAAATTGAAGTTTTTCATTAACGGAGTCAAAAATTATTAATTATGTAATTGTGATATTAGTTGCAACTTCAGTTTTAAAATCTCAGATTTACGCTGATTTATTATTATTATTAGTTGTAGTAGTGGCTCTAGTGGGCGTTGACAAAGTCAGTTGAAAATACCACCTTAGCAAAAATAAATAAGAGAAAAGTACGTCTAAGAGTAGTCTATTTTTTAAGTTAGTTTACAGTTTAATTGAATTAGGCAAAATAATTACAAACAAATTGAAAATAATTATTTAGATTTAAAATGCCCTCGACTTCTTATTCAAAAAGACCAAATTATCCTTTTAAAATAAGATAATATATTCACTCAATAAATTTTGCAAAACTTCTTGACAACTCCGCTTGATTTCTATATGATTGAAGGAGGGTTTGCCAGTAAAGAAAATTCAAGATATCATTATTTTTGTCCCATAGAAAGAACTCCATTAGGAGAGAATTGATTTGTACACAATTTCTTCCCATTCCTCAAAAGAAGCTCGAGCAGTGCATTCATTTAAGAAGTCTAGTCCGAGACTTACGCAATACTCTCCTACCTGGACATGGATGGAAGTTTATTGGCTAGCTTCAAAGCCAAATCAACAGAGGGTCTTTGGAAGAGTGTTGATCTATAGAATATTACTTTCGTTTTTTTGAAGAAAAAACTTTGTTAATACGTGGAGATTGTTGTGGTTTGTGGAGTCTGGTTTAGCTACTGGTCTATCACAACCAGTTGTGTTTTCGGGCAAACTACTGCGTGTGATCGCAACTTGTTCCATTTTAGAGGAGCTAGTTGTGTGCGACATTGCTAACATGTTTTGTTTTTGAAGTTGCATTTAGGCACTGAGTTCCAAATGTTAGAGTACATCAAGCGCAACCAGTTGCGTTTTGGTGAAATGGGTTGCAATATTTCCCTAGGAAGTTGCGAAAATTGGTTTCCAATTTAGTTTTTACTCTACAAAAGACTAGTCTTGTGGGACAAGTTGAGTTCCTTTATCTAGGACTATTTATATATAACCCTAATAAGATTTTAGGGATTGTGGTGAAGGGTGCTGAGGATTGGTGATAGATTCACATGATTTTTTTTTTTTTTTTTTTTTTTACCCTGGGAAGAAAACATGCCATACGCTATACGGCATCTACAACAAGAACATCGGGCAGATACAGAGGATAAAAACACAGAAAACACCATTCCAAATCAAACTAACACCTCTTATAGTCAAGATCAACAGTCTTGACAAGCCAAAGAAAAGATGCCGAAGGAAAATCACCACAACAAAAGAAAAAATACAGTGCTAGAGAAAAGATTCACGTGATTAGTTTGTGCTAATTGAGATAAATAGTCCTAGATTGAGAGAAAATTCTCCATTGTATTTTTTATTTTTTTGCATAGTGGAATTTGTTTGGTGCACTCTATGATGGAGCCCTAAGTTTTTGGTTAATCATGTACATCTTGTACTATTGTGTGATTTTTTTTTTTTGTTTCTTCGTGATTTCTTGTATTTATTTTTCAAACATCGTTATTTTAATGTTGTTTTTTGGTTAATCATGTACATCGTTTTTTTTTCTTCGTGATTTCTTGTATTTATTTTTCAACAAGAGCTTTCGATTATTTTGTGTGTTTCCCCAACAAAATGTTGGGAGGAGAATACTAAAAATAATCTTAATTATGAAAATAAAAATATATCTTAGTTGTCTTATAATTTTGCATAAATTGACAAATCTTAAACTCGAAATCAATTTCTTTAAATTCTTAGGTTGCACCAAAGTGAGTATTTTATCATCTTTGACTGGACTTATTTGAGTGGATCCATCTGACCATATGTTAAGATTTGGTTAGATGGTATTAAAATAACAAGGTATTGAAAATAAAAAATTTGCACTACAATGCAATACATGAGTAGAGTATAACTATAAATTAGTTAAATCGGACCCAACCCAGTCTTTTTAATGGGTTTGGACAACCAATTCTACCGTACTCAATAATTTTTTCATGAATACAAACCAAATGTAAATTAAAGAAAAAGGATTTAGAAGATGCTTGGAATTTTCACATGGATAAAGCATTTGACATTTATCTTTATATTCTAATCTAATTTAATAATAGTTTAATAAAAAAAATTGTCAAACCAAAAATCTCTATTATTATTTTATTTTTCCCCCAATCTTGTAAACACTACATTACTGCATATAATTTTATTTTATTTTTCTTCAAGAAAACCTAGTCAACCCCTAAAAAGAAACCTAATCAAATGTCATTAACAAAAAAAAATAAAAATAAATATTATTTTTGCAAAATTTAATAATACAAAATTAGTATGAAAATTAATACTTTGCATTTAAATGACATTTCATGGTGATTTTGTAATTTTATGTCAAAATATAAGGTTATTGAGGTATTTTAACACAAGAAAATGACAACTTAGTTATTTTTTGAATTTTTCAATCTCAGAAGAGGTTAAAGTAATAAAAACCAAACATAGTCTATGTGTAATTTGTCTAAACTTTAAAGGATAAGAGTATAATTTATCCTAAAAAGTTCTGATATGCTTAGTGGATAATTTCAACTCCTAGTCCCTCCCGTAAAGCTCTAACCAACTTACATGAACTGCAAAACTTACATAATCTAACCACTTAACTTGCAATTATTTAATGTTTTTGTTATCAATTATAAGAAATTTAAATTTATAGGTGTAACAGGTAGTTTGGTTGATAAATTTGTGTTTAGTTTTAGCAAGAATTTTTTTGTCAAATTATATCTTCAATTTAGCAATTTGTGTTTTGAGAAGAATATTTTACTTATAAAAGAAAAAGGATTTTAACAATAATTTGAAATTTATTTTGAAATAATTCCAAGGGTTTGGTCTAGTTAAAAAATATTTGGGTCCAAGTGTTTCACGAAGTATCAAGTCTTAGGATCGATTCCGGTTAGATACCAATAATTTCTTAAAAAATGTGTGTGTATGAATACTAACTAAAATAAATAAATAAATAAACTTTGATACATAAAACAAAAGACCTTTTAATGCTTTACTAAAATTCACGTTAACATTTAACTACGCTAAATAGGATAATTATGAAAACATTTTCTAAGTGCATTGTTCCACGCAATTCGTAAAGTTCACCACTATAATAGTGGAATTTATTAAATTTTATTTTCTTATTTGTGAAATTTCTCAACACCATCAAACATTTGACCCGAAATCATCATCGGCAGTATCTAACCTCCTCTCTCGCTTAGAATTCTTGAGCAGGGGAGCGGCATCATACTCACTTCCACCATTGTTCTCTTGAAATGCCATCGCCTGTTTGCACCGTAACAGTATTTGCAAAACCTCCTTCATGGTTGGTCTGGCGGAAGGCAGTGTGTAAGTACAATTGATCCCAAGTTTGAACACACCACTCATCTCCTCCAAGTAACAAGATTCCTTGATCTCCTCATCCAATGCATCTTCTATGGACTTGTCTTCTTGCAATTGATGCCATGCCCATCCTGCGAGCCCCATTTCTTCATCTCCATCACTGGCTTTCCTTCCGGTAGCTAGTTCCAGAAGGACAACTCCGAAGCTATACACATCGATTTTCTCGTTTACTCTCGTTGTACTAGCATACTCTGGAATTCATAGTTAGAAAGATATAATGTTTTGGTCATGCATATGGTAACAAATTAAAAGTTATATAGGGTAAAGTGCAAACAAACCTTCTCATTATATACAATATGTGAAAATATCATGTTCAATTGATCTCCCGAATTTTCAAAATTGTGCAATTAAGGACATTTTGTTAATTTACCAAGTGAAATGTGAAAAATACACTTATAATAAAATAAAAGAAGTAAGAAAACCTAATTTGCGGAAAATGGTTTGGAACTAGCAAGGCTCCGGATGACACTACGTGTGTGTGTGTATGTATGTATAAGTATATCTATATATAAATGCATATATAGTTATACTCTGGACCGTCGTCGTAGTTTGTTTATTTTTTTATTATTTTTTTCTGGACATCTTATTTTATTTGCATGTCTTCCGTCTCTAATACCAACATATTCGAACATGTTCGTGAGGATTTGAATGCTCTTGTTTATTTTCAATTTGGGGTAATAACTTTGCAATTTTTGTTTTCAAATGACTGATATTCCAGCCTAATTTACAATGGGGAAAATTTGTTGGTTTTATGGTTTTTGCATTCCTGTGTATATGCTTTGTTTGTTCAATTTATTTCATTTGTTGCAGACCGACATGGAATGCATCAGTACAGGAATCAAAATTAGCTAGTCAAATTGTTTAGGCATCCACGTGCCCGCTGAAGTTACCGAAATGTCCTCCAATGAATTAAAAACACACACAAAACACGTCATGTGTCACCCAAGGCAAATGGACTGGACTCAAGGACGGATCCAGCATTTTTTAATATAATGGGCTAATTTTGGATTGGGCTAATTTTGAGTGATCCGATTGGCCCATCCTAAACCCACAAGCACGAAGTCAAGTCAGATACAAGCCAGCCCATTGAGAGAGAACTTGGGGATCAAACAATGAAATTAGGGTAGGAAAAAAGATGTATAAATGGAGTAAGAAAGGAAAAAAAGAGAGAGGGTTGGTCTTAAAGAAGAAAAAAAATCATCAATAGGAAGAAAAGATTCTTGCACCTACACCCGCCAATCACTAAAATTAAGAAATGGTTAGTTATATTTGGAAAGAGAGGAGAGAAAGAGAGGTGTGAACAAATATATGACCGTCACCCAAAAAGTTTGGAGTTTTTTATTTTTCATATATATATATATATATATATATATATATATATATATATATATATAATATTTTTTTTATCAAGGGTATTTTGTGGTTAATTTTTAAAAAAAATACAATAATTTATATGCACACATTAACAAATAACGGCTGTTTCTTGCATATGTTGTATATAGAGGGATTATTTTTTTTTGCACTTCACCAATACATATATATATATTACTTACCCGGAGCAATGTACCCAATGGAGCCAGCCACAGCTGACACTGTGTTAGGCTCTCCATGCTTGATCAACATCTTGGCTAAGCCAAAATCTGCTATTTTAGCATTGAATTCAGAATCTAACAAGATATTGCTTGATTTCATGTCGCGATGAACAATAGGTGGTGAGCAGTCATTGTGCATGTAGCATAGCCCCCGGGCTGCTCCAACTGCAATCTGGAACCTCTTAGGCCAGTCCAGGACAACATGATGCACTGAACCCGATACACTTGGCTGCCTACGCCTATTGTTTCCATGGAGCCATTCATGCAAGCTACCATTTTCCAAAAACTCGTAAACAAGAAGTTTCGAGGTCTCATTTGACATACAGCACAACAATTTCACTATGTTGGAGTGGCGAATTGTGCCTAGTATCTCAACTTCTGCAAGGAATTGCTTCACCAGTTTTTGGTCCAACTTTCTGTTGTTCCAAATCCTCTTAACAGCAACAAATTCGCCTTCTGAGCTGTTGACTGGAACGCGATACACTTTCCCCGATCCCCCACTTCCTATCATGCAGTTTTCAGTCAATTTCAGCAAAATGCTCGACACAGTGAAGTTCAACCTCTGAAATGAAGTCAGTTTCCAGGTCAAATCCGATCCAAGCTTTCTCTTTCGATGAACCTTGATCACGAAGAACAACGTGAATATAATAGCTAAAACAAACAGAACTGATGCTACACTTGTCAACATAGCAAAAAGCTGGGTGGAAATTCTGCCAGATTTTCTTGCTCCTGAAGAGCAAACTTCAATGCCCAATGATGGCTTACTTGAACAAAGACCAGGATTGTTTAAAAAACTGGCATCAAAAAATTCAATTTCAAACTTACCTGGGATTCTTCCGGTGAGACTATTGGAAGAAAGGTTGAGTGAATTCAGCGTCAACTTTCCAAATTCAGGTGGAATTTGACCGGATAATTCGTTCTCCGACAAATCCAAATAAGTAAGGACACGCAAAGAACCAATATCAGCTGGAATTTCCCCAGAGAGTCGGTTTCGACTGAGATTTAAATCATTTAATGAATGCCATGATACTATTTCTGAAGGAAAATGACCGGAAAGCCGATTCCTATCAAGAGAGAGAGTTGTCAAGAGTGGAAGAGCTGTTAACTCCTGTGGAATTGTGCCCGTAAAGAGATTGTTGCTTGCTTTGAACACCGTTAAACAACACCTCAATGATGAAATGCCCGCTGGAATTTCACCGGAAAACTGGTTGTTACTAATCTCAAGTCGTGATAAGTTTGTGGCAAATTTGACAGGAAGATGACCGGTAAACAGATTGTCGCTTATCATAAAAAATGTCAAATTGAATGATGTCCATAAACCATCGGGAATGTTGCCAGAAAGTCGATTACCATGAACCCGAACAGTTGTCATACGTGTACAATTCCCAAGTGAACTTGGCAATTCACCTGTGAGGTTGTTGTCGAATGCTATGACAGCTTCCAACACTCCGTTAGAGCATAAATGCTCCGGCAACTGGCCTATAAACTGATTGGTGGCCACTTGAAATTCTCTGAGCATTGAGTATCGCCCAAAGTCCGGTGGCAATTCTCCTGAGAGATTGTTGGTGAACCACCGAATAACTTGCAGGTTGGGAAGGCGGCCAACGCTTGGTGGTACTTCGCCAGAAAGATGATTTGAAAACAGAGCCAAACCAGTCAGTTTGGTCAGTTTTCCAAAATCATCCGGTATTGTCCCAGTCAAGTTGTTTTCCGACAAATCAACCACATGCAAGTTCAAAGCTTCAACTGATGTTGGAATTTCCCCGGACAATTTGTTTTTGTGAAGATGCAGAGTAGTCAAATTCTTCAACAAAAACACGCCATTAGGAATGTTACCAGTCAACTGGTTTGTCGACACGTCCAAGAGCTCCAAGGCCGTCATATTCCCGATTGCTTCCGGGATTTCTCCGATCAAATTCGCCGACGACATCCACAAACTTTTGAGTTTTCTCAACTGGGTAAAATTCGAAGGTATCTTCGATGGGGCAAACGGATTGACTGCCATCCATAGTAATTCAAGATTCGACAAGTTTCCAATTTCTGGCGGGAAAGTTCCGTTGAACTGGTTTAGTTCAATATTAAGAGTCCTGAGCTCCGAAAACCGCCCAATTGAGGCGGGAATGTCACCGGTGAAGTTATTGTAGGCGATGTTGAGCGCCCGGAGCTGAGAGGACAACCGGTGGATGTCACTGGGAATTGATCCGACGAAGTAATTTTGAGAAATGTCTAGTGTTTGAAGCTTGGAACAGTTGTAGAGGACAGTAGGAAACGGTCCGGGGATGAAATTATTTAGAAGATTAAGAAGGGTCAAGTTTTGGAGGTCACAAATGAATGGTGGGATTGTTCCGCTGATGTTTTTTTCAACGAGCGAGAGTCCAATCACAGAGCCACCTGTGCAGTTGATCTCCGGCCATGTACAGTGTATTAAGGTTGAGGTTGAGTTCCAATGTTCGATGGAGGGTGGATTGGACCAGTGTTGTTTCAGCTTCAGTAGGATTTCTTGCTCTGGATTGGCGGTGGTTTGTGAGTTGCCACGGAAGGGTAGGGTGAAAATGAGGAGAGAGAGTGTGATTTGGAGAGATGTTGAGGATATTTTCGACATTTGGATAGGTGGACGTTGTTTTTCCCGCCAGTTTTAATTTTCAAGTGGGAGAGTTTTGAATTGGTGAGCTATTAAATACTGTATTTTTTTAAATGCCGTGTACCATATAGTCTACATAGAATTTAATGCCAGCACATTGACATAGTACAGGCGTCATACAGACTATGTCAGCAAAATGACGTATTATTGTTCCTGTTCAAGATTAAAAAATTTCTCTTTGTATTAGTCATTCCATCTAAAAGGATGTTACATTGACTTATAGAGTATCATCATATGTAGTATTACGTATTAAGGAAGAAAGAAATAAAGAAAGAAAACTAAAAATCTAATTGATTAAACATAGAAAAACACAATTGATCAATAAATATTAATAAAATCATATTTCATATTAGTACTACATTATTTCATTTTATGGTGTTCTAAATTAGTTGTTCCATTTGACAAGTCAAAGAAAAAAGTACAAATTTTTCATAATTACCTTTTAAATTTTTAAATATCTCTCCACTTAGTAATATACACTTTTAAATTTAAATTTAAAAGAGACTATAATTTTAAAAGAGGATAATACATTAATTGTATGTCCCTATAAAAAATTATATTATAAAAAATATACAACTAATATAAAACAAAAGGAGTTTCATATAAACTAGTAAAGTGTTGTGTCCGTGTCAAATATTGGCACTTTATGGACCTTATTAGACATTTATACATTTCATGACTATATTTAATTTAAATATAAATTTTATTATTTTAAAAATTTGATCAACACATCTCAAACACTCTATCAACTTATTTTGGATTATTCTTTTATATAACCAAACAAGGGACAGTCTTAAAAATAACATTATGAACATATTTCAAAATGATATTAAACACGTTACAAAACAAAAATATAATTATAATGACAAGATATGAAAGTAATATCATATTATATATATATATTTATATGAGAATACTTTATCTTTTAACTTATGTAATTTTAGTACAAAATTTATAAATTAATTAACATTCAATAATAATTTTATTCAATAAATTTATAAATAAATATTTATATTACCCGGTTTCTATTCAAAAATATATTTATCAGAAAAGTAGATTTTAAGTAACCAAAATTGAAAAAGAAAATTTTGTTCTAAAGTAACCTATAAAATTTTGTTTTAATAAAAAATAAATAGTGACGAAATCTAGAAAATTTTGTTTTAATTTTAATATAAAAAATACCCCTCCTATACGTTGATTTGCTTTTCTTTCTTAGTCTTCTCCAGCCCCCAACCTGAAATCTACTATCAACGGTCTTAGGAGTGTGACATTTCCTTGACTTTGAAAATTCAAAGGTCTTTGGAGTTTATTCTTATAGGTGGGCTCAGCAAAGAAGATAATGTGAATCTACTCGGCCAATCAGCTTCTCGATTCCATTCGTACCTCATAAAAAATAAATAAATAAAATAAAATAAAATTATAAATTAGAGGTAGAAAATGTTGTCAGAGTGATAAAAGATTAGAATTTTAGTGGCTCCACCCTATTAATTTAGATTTGTCACTAACTACTGATCACGGTAAAAAAATAATAATAATAAAATAAAAAATTAAAAAAATCTTACCTTACCTTAAGTTCGTTATGGTCATAATTTTTTTTCTTCTTATGTTTAAATATTCATATAATACGGTATAAACATCTTATTTAACTATCTTGTTAATATAATATTTTTTTAAAATCTTCATTTAATAGAGATTCAATACATAAATATAAAATTAAAGAGATCGATATAGGAGTAGGTGGCGTATGAGATAAATAAAAAAAGAAAGAAAAAGAAAAAGAAAAAAAACAAAACAAAATTACTGCTCAATATATTTTTATACTAAAATGTTTTTTATTCAATTGCCTTAACCAAATAATGGTGGAAAATGTGCTTGCCCGCTCTCATGCTAAAAAACAAATGACTCTGCATTGACCAAAAGAACGGTAGTAGCTCTTATTTTCAAAACAAATGAATCCATTAACCAAAAAAACAATGGCTATAGAGTTAAGGGCTAATTTGGTAGGTGGAAATGGAATGAAATATTTTTAATTCTATTTTTTTGTTTGGAAAATAATTTTAAAGATGGAATGTTCATTCTTCACCTTTCGCTGAGAATGGTTATTCCATTAAAATCATTTTAACTTTCCAATAAGGGTTAGTTTGGTGTGGTGGAATGAAATAAAAGAAAATGAAGGCGATATCCGCACTCCATTTTTTAACGAAATGAAATAACAATTCTAACACTAACTTTACAAGTAAATAATTATTACTTTTAAAATGACAAAACTGTTCTTTTAGATTTCCTCTTCTTATCTATAATCTTTATTATTTTAGGTCTCTTTTGACAAGACACAAAATTAATTGAATAATTTTTTTTTGTGGGACCGAGAAATAAAAATTTATGCTCCTCTTTTGACCCGACAAAAAAAAAAAAAAAAAAAAAAAAAAGTAACCATTAAAAAAATTATATCTTTTGACATGAAAAAAAAAAAAAAAAAAAAAATCAGAAAAAAAATATTTATTGAAAAAATTATCTTTTTTGTCAACATCCCCAAAAGAAAAAAAAAAAAAAAGTTTGAAAAGAAGAGGATTAAATTTTTTATTTTTATTTTTTTTTTATCTATATTGAATAAATAATCTCTTTTGATAAGACCCAAAAAAAAAAAAAAAGTTATTTTTATCTAATAAATTATTTCTTTTGATCGGACTATAAAAAATTATCAAAAAAAACTTACCTCTTTTGACTGAAAAATAGTTGACGTTGTTGAATAATATCCCTTTCAATTGTACAGGAAAAAAAAGTCATTTTGGAATAAATTATTTCTTTTAACTGTCAAAAATTAAATTATTAGTATGAAATAAACTATTTACAGGATCTCTGGAAAAAACAAATAGAAAGGAAGGGAAAAAAAAAGTAAATAAAGTAAAGAAGGTAAAAAAATGTTAATATTGTATAAAGGGTAGTTATGACATTATAAATTAAGGGATAGTGAATTAATGAATTCAATGACCTTCTTATCATTTCATTTAAAAGATGTAATGCAATTGGAGAAAAGTGGAGTGCGAATATAGTCTACCAAAAATAATACTAAAAATGGCTTTGCTTGAATAATGTGATTACTAACACACTTTTCTCAAACAACTCAAGCACTATCATAAATCAACATTGAAGGCGATTAACCATTGAAGATGATCAACAACGAATCCGAAATCAGCGCAAAATTAGCCATTGAAGTCGATTGACGACCAATCCGAAATCAGCCAGAAATCAACCATTAAAGTAGATCGACGCCCGATCTGATATCAACCAACTATTTGCATCTATATACAGTGATCGACGATAAAGCACGTTGAAATTATATTCTTGACTAAAAAACGAGAGTAAATTTCCATGTCAGTGAGAGATTTAATAAAAGGAAACTTTTTCTTGATATTCCTTCCTCAGTTTCCAAATATAAATCGAAAATATATATTTACGCATATATATATATATATATATATTAGTTTTTCTTTTTAAACTATGCATAACCAAATAAGAGAATGGGAATGGTCATTCCATTCACATTCCATTCCCTAGTTTCAGACTTTCAGTATCTATGAGATCTTCTAAGCTAGACATGGTGTGTTTCAGGTGCAGACAGTTTGGGGTACACTATTAAAATAGTGAAACTAATTCAATTAAGATTTTTTAATTAAGAAAAAGGCACACAAAAATATATTACAAAATAATATATTACAAATAAATTTTAATATTTATTTTTATTAAATTAATTTACTAAATGTCAAATGATTCATGATCATATAATAATTCTCGTATGATTCATAATAATAATCAAACCCATACTAATAAGCAATTGATTTAATTTTCCATGAGTGCTCCAATGGGATTTGATTTGCACCCAATTGAAAGTGTGAAATGTGAATATACATTGTGGAAAATGAATTATTGATTCATTATTGATTTGGCACTCTTAACATTCAAAACTAGTCCAAACTTTACCCAATTACCACCCTATATATCGTAGAGGAACCAGACTAAGGTGAGAACCTGGGAAATCTCAATCTAGAACGATGAGAAACTTCTGTGTTAGACTAAGTCAAAGTCAAACGTACAGACATTAAAAAAACAAACAAACAAAAAAGTCAGGTCAATGGGGCCATTATTTTTTAATAAATAATTAAAGGGTTGGAAAAAGGCATTCCAACACTGAGAAATTTATATCAGCGCATGTTCCACATCTTTTGTCTTTATCACACTTTCCACAAAAGTTTTAAAAGCAAAGATGTGGAATATGCCCATTAGAAATTTATAAAGGCAAAAATGTGGAATATGCGCCATTAGAAATTTCCTAGCGTTGGAACGCCTTTTTTTCATTGTAGACCTTTAATTGTGTCTTAGAAAACCAAACAATAATGGCCCCATTCACCTGACTTTTTTGTTTGTTTCTTTTTTTAAAATTATGCACGTTTGAATTTGACTTAGTCTAACTGTTAGTTTGTTTTTTTTTTTGAAAATTATGCAGGTTTGAATTTTTAACATAACTTTCGTAAATGTTGAAAATTATGCAGGTTTGAATTTGACTCTAACATAGAAATTTCTCATTATTCTAGACGGGAATTTCCTAGTCCGGTTCTTCTACTATACATAGGGTGGTAATTGGATAAGTTTTGGATGAATTTTAAATGTTATGAATGACAAATCATTAATGAATTAATAATTCATTATCAATTCATTTATGACGCAGGTTAAAAATTATATGGGCTAGTTAATTCATATCTAACTCGATTACGAATATTTTTAAATACAAATTGTTAAATTATTTTAATTGTTAAATACAAAAAAATAAAAAATAAAAAAAAATTACTGCAGCAGTTTCCATTAATTTTTTTGATTTTCGGCATTACAATTTTTTTTCCCGAAAAAGTAACACACACACACACACATAAATGAGCTTTGCCATATATATATATATATAGAAAAAGGAGTTATGACTGGTAGGTAACATATGAAAATTTTACCCAAAAAAAAAAATTCCTG